CCTGCCGAAACCGTCACCAAAGAAGCGGCTCCGTCAAAGATCAGGGTGCCCAAGATAAATCTACCAAATTTTGCGCGTGCTGTTGCAAAATGGGTACATCCACCTTTTGATTTGAGTACAACAGAGAAAGTACATGAGTACGCCAAAGAGATCTACTTCCATCTCTTGGGGGCCATCAAAGCGACTGGAGCCCGGGCCAGAAAGTTAGGCGACAAATCTGCGCCGTGGTGGACTCCTGGGTGCAAGTCCGCACATGCGGAATATCGAGCCGCAACGACACCGACACAGCGGGCCACTTGCGCGAAGAAGCTTCGAGCGACAATCACAGCCGCTGAGAAAGAATACTAGACAAGCCAAGTGGAAGCAATGACATCACCGTCCGATATCCTCAAGCTGGTGTGTGCGGTAAACCATAGACAGGCCAAAGCCCCTCAGCCGCTCAATCACAACGGAAAGTTCATCACAGATCCCTTGGAGCGAGCTATCATTCTCCGAGACGCCCTTCTTGCACGTCACCAACAATCGGACGACCTTCCCTCATGCAACACTCCAAGCGATAACCGAATTCCTTGGGAAGGTAAAATCTCAGATAAGCAAGTGCGAACTTGCACAATCGGCTGTGAGAAGACAGCACCAGAGGCAGATGGAGTTACGGTTGAGCTCCTCGAGACTTGCTGGAAGACAATCAGACCGTGTATCTCGCAGCTCTTTAGAGCCTGTATACGGCTGGGCACTCATCCATCCTGCTTCAAGCTGGCGGAGGTGGTACTACTGGAAAAGCCAAATAGGAAGCCAACGACGATTAAAGGATGGAGACCTATAGCCCTCCTCTCGTGCATAGGTAAAATATTAGAAAGGCTTCTTGCCAAGCAAATGGCGCACCTCGCAATCACTTATGGTGTGGTTGGCCATCAACAATTAGGTGCGCTCCCAAAGCGATCTGCAACGGACCTGGTCTCCTGTGTAGTTCATGATGTCGAAGAAGCACGCTCCCAGGGATGGGCCTCGATATTTGTAACTTTAGACGTCCAAGGAGCATTCGATGCAGTGCTCCACAATCGCTTGGTTAGGCGCATGTAAGCTCAGGGATAGCCAGACTCAATCCTCCGATGGACATCCTCATTCCTCACACATCGGAAAGTACAAGTGCGTTTCTCAGGCGGAGTCACCACCCAGACAGAGCTAGTCTGTAGAGTCCCCCAGGGATCACCAATTTCGCCATTACTATTCCTTCTGTATATGGCGGAGCCGATGAAAAGTGGCAACCCAGGATCGAGGCTTAGCTATGCCGACGACATTGGAATTCCAGGGTTTGCCTGCACAATAGCTGAATCTGCCGCTGCTGTTCAAAGTAAGACAGATCATCTTCTCGAATAGGCGCGGAATAATGCCGTCGACTTTGACACGGAAAAATCTGAAGTTATTTAATTTCCGGGAAGACGCCGAGAGGAAGCAGTTGGTGTTCATGTAAACGGAGCCCTTATCGAGCCTGCGGAAAATATTCGATGGTTAGGCGTTAATCTGGATCCACGACTCAATTTCAAACACCATGTAACTACGTGGTGCGGTAAAGCTGTAAAAGTTGCCCAGCACAAGCACCGTTTCAACTCTGCCTTTCGTGGAGCAGCTCCCGGCAATTGGCTAAGGCAGTAGACATGTGCAATGTCTCGCTCGCAACTTTTGGATCTAATGTCTGGTGGCCAGGGTCCAAACGCCCAACCATACGAGGAATGGTCACATCCTCCACCTCCAACCTCTGCGGCATGATTGACAGAGCGAACCTGATGGGATTTCGGGCTGCACTTCCAGTAATGAGGACAACATCAAATGTAGTCCTTCATAGAGAAGGAGGAATCCTGTCGGCAAAGGTCATACTAGAGGGAAACCGTCTCCAGCTTTCGGCAAGGCTTAAGACTCTTGATGATCGACACTCTTCGAGGATCTGCGCTTCCGTGTGCCCGAATTTTGGCACCCGAAAATACAAAAAGACCGCCAAAACCTCAGCTGAAAAGAAATCCAGATGTCACGATTACAGCGTGCCTACCAAGAGCTTCAGGAAGCAGAAGCTCCTGAAAGACTGATGCCAGTGGTTTACCCTAGTAAATCAGGCTTAAAGCTGATGGAACGCGAAGATTGTGATAGATGGATTAGCGACGTGCCAGGAATAGACATTTGCTCATACTCGGATGGTTCATCAGAAGGACACGGACACTCCGCCTGGGGTTTCGCTCTGAAAAAGGATAGGAAACTCATCAGCAAAGGAAGTGGTATCAAGCACGGGGGAGAGATGCTGGATGCGGAGATAATTGGTGTAAGGAAGGCTCTGGAGGCCGCACTAGAATTTACGGAGGATGAGCGGTCCAGGAAAGGTGGAGGTTCATGGCAAATACACGTGTTTCTAGACAGTCAACAAGCTGTAAGCGCATTAATGACGGGCTTATCCTCAACTAGCCTAAAAGATGTACGCAAATTCCGTGCGTTTTCCAATAAGGCTGAAATATTAGTGAAGCGGGTTCCAGGACATGCAGGAATCCAAGGAAATGAAGAGGCAGACGCCATGGCCCGTGAAGCACTTCGAGAATTACCTAGCTCGCATACGCAACCAGGATCTAGTACTCTGGCACATCTTCGAGGCGTCATGAATCGCAGACGACAGAGGCTGCTAGACAACTGGTGGGAAGAGGCCTGTCCGCCAAAATACCGCCAACTCAACCTACAGGTGCGGAGACGCAAACCACCCGAACTGTCTCTCTCTAGGCACCTTAATCAATTTTGAACTTGATCGTAGACTTTGTATATTGGTCTTTTATCACAGACACGGAAATAGATTCATGAGATTGCTTAATGAGAGGCTAGGATTGATTCCGATATAATTTGGTTGAAGACTTGTCCTACAATTTAGAGGCTACAATGTCTTTATATATTTACGTATTTACCCCCATATTCACCACATCCGCTAGCCATTCTAAATCTAGCGTGCATAGCCTGATTCATCTCATGGTTCTGGTATGGAGCTATAGTTTCCGAATAGCAGTATTCTTTTAGCTACTACAATACGTTGCAGCTTCAGATATAGTTTACCGTGCAATACTTCCACCTGAGCTACATGCCTCTTTGATATGCTGCCCGCTCGGTAATCAGTGAGATAACCGAAGCGAAACCTCTACAATAACCTTAATTACGAACCCATGAATACCTAAGACAGAAGCCTGCAATCTAACACAATTAGATTAGGAATTGCCAACTACAACCTAATCCAAACACACCTCCTCCGGGCACTAATTGCAGCACGAACAGGTCACGGCAATTTTGCGGCATACCATCGTCGTTTTAACAACCCATACGCTCCTATGGAGTGCTCTTGCGGGAAGGAAACTACTCCAACCCACTTCATCCACTGTTGTCGCCACGCACAACACACGCGTAGGCTCAGAAATTCAATGTCCCACGCTAACTTTGTCAAAAAGCTTCTCGGGCCCAAGTGCCACGATAGCTTCAAAATATTTGCGGAGGAAACCAGCTGTTTTGATAGCCAACTTGCTCACTGATCCACTGCCCTCAGCGGGTATCAAGTAAACTAGTTATTGCCACAACGCATGACACAAAAGGGATCGAGGCGAGAAGTGTCGTTTCTCTGAGGAAATTTTTATGTACTTGAATTTAGGGTTGAAGGATGGAGTCTTGATTTCGGAGTCGGAGTAGGTGGTGTCTTCTGAGCTTTAATTTACTTTCTACTTTTTGTGTAGCGGATCTCGCGATTGGAATGAGCTGGTCCTGTAAGTAGTGATCCCCGCCGGCTCCACCAGTCTTGTACCTATAGTGGACCTAGAACTTTAGCTTAGAACTTTAATATAATAAATAAAAATGAAAACGCCACGGTTGGATAATCAGAGGTTTTGAAACTTTATTTTGGTGGGAACTCACGGGGTAGGGTCGACTGTTCAGTTAAGGTAAAAATACCTTACTGTGGGACTGAGTGAAATCTGGGGTGTCAGTGTTATTTAATCAAAAACACCATTCAACAGGTACACGAAATACTGATCATATGATAGAAATCTATGGTCAAGTACAAATGAAATAATTTTAAAAGATAATTGGAGAGGGGACAAGACTCTTCATAATTCTCTTTAAATAGCCTCTTTGGCACTGGTTGGAAAGGTCACCGCGGTAATATAATCGACAGGACGGTGAAATAAGACACGTTTCTTTGAGAGTGTCTTTCATGTCCTTATACCGGAAAAATAGTTGGCATTAAATTTTATCTCGCATGAGTTCATACTTTCCCTTTTCCTAATATTATGGCAGCCTGACTATTAAACTGTATAAATTATCAAAAGGCTTATTTTCTAAATGCCATGTTCTTATCTGAGACCGTTGGAATATGCCTCAATTCATGCTATCCATCCATTATAAATTTGTAACAATCATTCACAAGATATGGTTTCAGGGTCAAAAACGAGTCTGCAGCTTTCCATGTCAGTATCTAAGGTATAAGCTCCTCTCGAAAGTATTTATATATATTTTCTTTTCTAGTAGAAAGTAGCCACTTAATTCATTTACACAGGTCTAAACTTAATCCAATGCAAATATTACCTATCCAATCCGTTTCTTCGTTGCAAATAAGCGTAGATTAAGCTATCCCAACACCTAATCAAATTTTTCTGTAATTTAGGAAAACAAATAGGCCGTTCTGCAGGCTCAACATAATTATCATTTACTTCTTCAGTGACATGCCGGGCTCTAAAAATCTTGTTCTGCCATTTAATACGTCCTCTCGCCTGCTCAACTAAAGGCTTCTGGCATGAAAATAGTATGAAAGCCCGGCTATTGCAGCATTTTTTCCTTCCAATTCTATCTCTTACTGATCTGATATACATTAAACAGTCAATAACAGATTTGTTTTTCCAAATTTGAATATTGTACTCCAGAACATATTTATTCCCGACATTGATTTGTATATTTCTAAAGTTTATCCAAAGGTTCGAACTTGATAAGAGTACCTAGTTAGCGTCGCATTCATCGTTGTGGTAGCTCATCCTTGACCCGAATGTGTCTATCTTATGTAAGTATTTTTTATGAGACTTGACGAAAATATAACAAAACTCACCTCTGTTTCTATTTCGCCGAGGTGTTTCATTTCCTGGACTTTGGCTACAAGTATCATAATGTGATGATGGACCACTCATTGTCCGGGGTCCTGTCAGCCTTCTCGTAGGAATGCACTGAAAAGCACATAAGCTTCGGGCGGCTGAGCGAGGGCGATCACATGGATCATTTGTTACTGATTCTTGAGCTGGGGTTCTATTCTTATTGCGACTCTTTGGTGGTCTTTCAAGATCGAAGGGTTCCTTAGGAGGTCGAGGTGGTGGTTGGTTGCAGCAAGAACTTTTTGGGATACTTGAATCGGACATCGGAGACCTAATTCCAGAATGTCGGTTATTTTGCGGAACTGGAGTACGGCGAAAACCAGCTGGTGAATTACATTCCGTGGACTTTCTCGACATTGTACCAAAGTTGTCAGCCTGAGATTCTAAGGCTGTTTGGTATCGATCAGTTGGTCCTTGACGTGGCTGAGGATGTTGAAGGTTTAAAGAGTCGCGGTGAGCTTTAAATTTAGGATCCTCCGGAGGTACAAGGGACATTGGAGGCTCAATTGCATCATAGTGACGGTTCAAGTCATGCGGGTAGCGGGAAAGTATCTTGTCAGCATTGTAGGGGTCGTTTTCGTCATAATCGACAAGGTCTGAACCAGATCTCGATGGTGGTGATGCCTCTATCCCTTTTCTTCCACTGGTGCGCCCGCTGCTTCGAAAACCTCGAAATACAGAGGATGCCGTAGTCTCTGACCAGCGAGACATTTTAGGTATCCAACCAGAGGAGCCACTCGATTTATGCTTCTTACACTTGTCAGCCGAAGGTGCTGTTATATTCTGAGGGCTCTGAGTAGCAAAAGCAACGGCTGGGGAAGGAGGGGTTTCGAGGGGAACGGATTCACGCCACGTAGCATCTTGAAGAGGTGTTTGCGGACGGTTTTCAGTGGAAGGCCGATGAGGTGACGGCAGTTTGCCTTCGGCCTCTGCTTCTGATTCAACTCTTTCAGGAACTGTGCTGACCCGCTGATCTGAAAATTTATGCTCGCTCATTTTGTGGAGTTGTTCGTGTGGAACAGTGCCTGAATGATTCGCATAGTTGGTATTGGGCGTAGCGTTGTTTCGTTCCGGCTCAAACGTGTTACCTTCTTTTCTGAATCCCTCTCGGGTAGGTTGATCGTAAGGGTCTGTATGTTGACCCATGGGCTTAAGGCCTTGAGCTACCTTGAGGCCTTCAACTTCCCCTAAAAGTTGCACTAACATTTCTTCAATTTTTCCAAGGTCGTTTGCACTCTTCATACTGAGTCCTTTGAGAGCGCGCCTAAATACATTGCGCTTCTTGGCAGGTATATCATCAAAAATATCGTTTCGTGATATTTGTTTGAGCGATTTGGGTCCGCTCTGAGGAAGAGGTCTAGGACCATTGATGACTTTTTGTACAGACTTTTCGGTATTAGCTTGAACCTCTGTTATAATTACATCCTCAGTATCGGCAAGAAGGCGTTTCATATCCTCAAATGAGTTTCTCATCTCTGCTGCGGCCCGGACAAGAGTCACAAGAATTTCAGTATCCCGAGCACTTCTTTGTGCATCACGAACCGTAAGCTGCACGTTAATGTCAGTGAATGAACAATTGAGAATAGTATACTTACATGATCCATCAGAGCAACAATATCCCTAGATTCGATCCGATCAATTCCATTACCCGTCGCACTATCGTACATTGGAGAGCCCATGCCATTGGAAAGGTCGCTTAGGTGTCTCTCAAGTTTGTGTGTATAGAATGGGTCGCGATTTATTTCGCCTGAATTAACTAATTCTTTAGAGAGTGACTCAGAGGTTTTCATGCCCTGGGAAATTTTATTCGGAACAGAGGAAACGTAGCCTTCATCTCGAGGCGAATTAATACCTCGTGCTGGAAATGATAATTTGCTGGGTAGAAAGCTCTCGTCAATAGCCTGGAAATCCGATAGATCGTGGTCAAGTGTATCCACTGCTGGTACAGGACTTGTATTCTCGTATGGGTTCGTAATGAGCGTGTCTCGTCTCCTTTCATTCGAATTTCTTTGCCAAATCCCTTCATTTTCATGATCAGTCCCTTGGATCTGATGGCTCGTTACATCTGATTTTCTGATATTGACTACGTCTTCAGCCCGATTATTTGAAACTTCTTTTTGATAGGGATCTAATTTTTCCATGTTATCATTATTTTCACCTTGAAAAATTTGCGGGTAATTTTCCAGAGGCTTCTGTCCTCTTTTTTCAGTGTAAGCTATGTCAGAGGGATTTGTTAGTAGATCAGATTCTGCGTCGCCGAAACCTATCTCAGGCATGGGATCGTTCAAGTCTGGAACTCCACTGGATGTCATTTTCGGAGCTTCCCAAACGGTATCTTCATTGTCTCTTTGTTTCGATAGTTGCTGAATAGAATTACTCGAAGCATGGTCTATTGATGGATTTGATCTGATTTGTTTGAGAGCTTGATTTTTCGTCGATTTCTCGTCGCGAATACTCACATCCGAGGCAGAGGTGCATGAGTTCTCATCCTGATTTTGTATCCGAAGATTGAGATGTTCTGGAATAATGTTACGTCTTTCGTCATCTTCCTCTGCTTCTGTCTTGTCAAGTTTTGAAATGGTTTTGTTTTCGGTGCTCCATTTGGGCTCATCGTGGACGTCATTTCCGCCTGTCTTATCCTTTTCCCTCTGGTTTGTAAGTGTCGACTGAGTGAGAGGATGCAGATTGTTGTGTTCGTATTCTAGATTATTTCCAGAAGTAGTTGTTAATTCAGAACCATTAACTAAGGAGGCCACTCTGGAATCAACCTCGGCTGCTTTGTGGATAGAATCAAGCCTTATTTGATTATTTTGTGTAATTTTTTCGTTAGAACCTCGATTTTTTGGCTCATTTTCCATTATATTTTGCAAGCTATGAGATTGCAGATTCGAATGGGTCACTTGGAAACCTTCATCGCTCATGTTTCGATTGCGGTTATTTTCCTCGTGCTGTTCCTCCCAATATTGAAGGTCTTGTGTTACCTCAGAATCAGAGAGATCTCCTTGGAGAAGTTCAGTTGCATCTCGAGATTTTCTCCGAGGTGAATTAGATTCATGAGAGTTGACGGAAATCACAGACTGCCTATGCATTGCAGATCGACCCATTGATGAGTAAGAGCCAGTGCTGCGAGTCATGCGAGAATCTCGATAATTCTCTACATCGCCGTCTGTCCAGCCAGACACACTAGGTATAGGGCTTAGTCCGCGTCGTTCTTGGGCATAAGGAATGTACCGAAGAGGAGGAGGAACTTCCTGTATATTCTGATAGAAATACTGTGCCTTCTTTTCTTGAGCTGAATCAATGCCTCGTCCGCGAATAGGAGTAGGATTCGTTCCTATGTTTGTTTGGCTTGGTGTGGGAGATTTTTTATGTCTCTCGGATTGTCCTAATTCAAGTTGTGAACCGCCATTTACCGAGCCAGGAAAAGATGAAGTGGCCGATACTTTTCTTCCATGCTCATCGAATTCATATTCTAGATTGGAAGAAAATTGAGTTTCAGTTTGTTCAGAATGCTGACTTAGATTTCCCCTTGAGTGGTTAGAGTGTTGGGTTTCTAAGCCTTGTTGTAATTTTTGATGAGAGCTCGCGCTTGGTGAGGCAATACCTCGTAGAACTTGTCGGAGTGGTGAGATAACATCTCGATTTTCTGCCAAATGCGAATTCGATTTCGATGAGAGTATTGAACTTCGCGTGATCTCAGACACGTTAAGGTCATTAACGATCGGCATTTTTGGATCTTTCTCGTATGATTCCTGATAAGGTTGAAACACACTGTAGCTTTTATTACGATTAGTTTTATGCGACTCGTGTAAGCCGTCCTGAACTATACGATCCTCTGGTTCTTGAGTAACTTTTTTTATTTCGTTACGCGGCACCGTATTTAATGGTTCCTCTCTGCGGGTAGCATTATGACCGTCCTTTAAATCGCGAAAATAGGCATCTTCTTTACTAGTGTCGGATTGAGCTACGTGGATGTTATGGATATCTGCGGCACCTGTATGAATTTCATCATGAAAGTTACCGCGAGTAGATTTCAGCATATGAGCATCTTTATCATTTATAATCACCGGATTGAGGGCCGATGTATCAGCTTGAGATCCATTTTCTCGCTTGTTTTCGCCTGAAGCAGCATCCCTCGAATCCTTTGAGAGCCCGCTGCCAGATGTAATTGAGCCTCGACGATGGCGATGTATATTTTTACTCTGTTCTCGCTTCAGTGCGGTTAGCTCCGGTAGGATTAGTCTCCGGATGGCATCCTCAACCGTTTCAAGTAGCTTAGGATTGTTAATAGACGACTTCGAAGTGGCAGACCGATAAGAAAAGCCGTCACCAGACCTTCCTCCAAGATGTGAGTTAAGAAGGCTAGAGTCAGCTCCTGAAACCAATAAGTCGTCATGATTCTGTCGACCTGAATGTCTCTTTGAAGTTTTAACAGTTTCAGGCATGAGTTCAGAGCTAACACTGCGGCTGCGGCTACTATGTTTGCGTCTACGTTGCTCCGATTTCTCATTCCGGACTTTTTGCACAACTTTTTGGACAACTATTCGCTCTCTACTGAGACTGCGACTCCGTCTTCGTGTCGGTGTCTTGGCAGTATTTTGTGACATGCTAGAGAGAGCACCAGTCGCTGCCCCAAGAACCGATGCGTCGCCTGTAGCGAAGCTTTGAGAGCGTTTATGATCTGAGAATCGTGACTTGCCATCGAGAAAACTGTTATCTGGAACTGAAGATATTTCTGAGAGATTGATCTGAGGATTCCTGGGACCTCTAACGGCAGCGGGAATTAAAGGACTCCCGTGGCGCCTAGGTCTAATCTCCACCTCAATAGGACCTCCTCCTCTGGAAGTCACATTAGATTCCTCAGTGGCAGAACGCGATGAGCCGACGCTCTGGTCATCTCGGTCACCCTCTAAGAGCCGGTCGGCTTTGTTACTGAGTGGTAGTTGTACACGTTTTGTGTAAGACGACTTACGCGTACCCTTTCTTTCACTTATTTGAATATGATCACTAGAAGATCTTCCACGAATCTTTGATGATGGAGTGACCTTCACTCTGACCGAAGGTCTACGAGTTTCAATTTCATTCCCCTTCCCGCCCTCGAAGTACTCTATTAAAAGAGACGTCTGAGACTTATTTGAGCCGAGTGTATAGCCATCCTTATCTGTTCTCGTGCGCCGGGTCGCGATCGTGATGGGAGTACCGTCTTCGGGTAAACTATACGAGGTCTTTTGTGTGAGTCGTGAGTCGAATTCATTGGCTCCTGTTGTACTATCTGTTTCTGTGGGCGCAGGTAGCGGCGGAGTTTTGTGGTCGGCACCCATTTTCACAGCTCAAAAATTGACCGTAGTTGCCTGTTGATACATCAGAAGTTTAGGACCAGTTGGGTGGACGAGGAATATTCATTCGAATGGAAATTGTTTAGGAGGCTGGATAAAATTCCGCGGCAGAATGCCGACCGACAAGGATTAGGCTAGTCTTAGGAAAACACTCAAGCAAAGGTCTAGAGTCAAGCGCGACGCAGCCACGCTCGTTCAAGTGAGGGTTGATGACGGGTTAACAGCAAAGTTGAAGTTAAATCAAAGGCACTGTGCAGCATTCGCGAACGAAAAGAGAGGCTGGGGCAAATGAAATGATGGTGACGGAGGGTTAGTAACGGAATGCGGCTGTGAATGGGGTTGGGATGGTAAACAAAGCTAAGGGCTGAGGCTCGGATCGGTAAGGGTGCCAGTACTAGACGAACATTCGCCTCTTCCCGGAGACATTACTGTTCCGGAAGACTTCGGGTGTTTGGAAAGGCGTGAAATGAAGGTAACAAAAGCTTGATCCACTTTATCTCAACCCGTTCACACGTACATCACCGCTCCCTCATTGTTCTGTGTCCGGAAAGCGATGGGCTCTCTGCTAATATCAGTTCGTTTAGACTGAACCCCGACACTGGCTTGAGTTTATCAAGTTCAAGCGCATCTCCTGACAATGAACCCCTCATACAGCATGAGCAGTTAGGTTAACGAGATCATTGCTCATCGAGGGCTCGCATGATGAGGTGTACTTCCCCGATGAAATTAACTTTGTGGTTACAGAAAGTCGTTATCATTACGAATTCCGCGCGTCAAGTGTATAAGATTCATGCCACCATCCCACTGTATCGTGCATGACTTGGGTACGCTAGGGAGCCCTATTTGGTCTTTGCTATTACCTCCATTCAAGCATACAATATGATGACCTCATACTAACGCTGAATCTCCATGATTGTATATTGGAAACCCTCCGAATACCAGTGATTTTGAAGGATTAGCAAAATTACTCGCTTTGCCATAACACTTAAATTTGCTCTAGTCATGTGCTTCTTGAACCAAATTAGCCTGAAGTTAATTTCTTGTTTTTTAGGAGAATCCGAGGACCTTTCGGCTTGACATTCCTGCAAAACAATAGGTTGAGGGTCAAATGCCTACTCCTTATGCAGCACCTATTATTCTTCATTACATGAAGTTGATCATTAGTGTCAGGCGCTAAACATGGGTACTGCCTATTTACTTGCGGATCTGTGATCAGGATGTGGGGGGAACCATGGATTCGTTGCTATGGAGATAAATGGAGGAATATAAAGTTGGGCATGACATCGTTCAGGGTATAATAAACGGCAGCTCATAGGATATGTTGTATCTTGTCCGGCCCAATATATTGAAAACGCCCTCGAATTCATCTCACGTATTCTCTCATAACTGACGCGACTTGTGGGTGTGTCTGCTCCTCATAACAGCGCATCACAGGCAGCAATCATATTAGGTTTAGAAGCTACTAAAGTAATGGGTCAATGTTTAGATAGGTATGCTTGAAATATCTTACTTGCAAACCTCAAGACAGATGAATTCACGATGAAATGAGACTTCTAGCCAGTATCGTTCATGCAAGCAGCCTGCTAGGGCGAGGTTGGGGTCAACAAGGATATTACTACGTTATGGGAGCAATGGCGTAAAATGATATAGGTGCAAATCTATCCCAACGGCATCAAGCGCATCATATGCCCCTCATCTAACGTGCATCTTATCACGCACGAACTACTCACCATCAAGATGGAAGACGAGTAACTGAATGCAGGGTCTACCCTACGGCGTGGCTACCCTGAGGCTTGAAGCAACTCACCTAGCCTGATTTAAATTGAAAATTAGTGTGATGCTATTTTGACGATGTCGGATTAACGCAGTTCATTTTGCCAGAGTAATACCTTGTGTGGCCCTCTCAATAATCATCTCACCTAGCAATGTTGCAAAAATCTTCGAGCGAATCTAATTCATTGGTAGGAATAGAGAATTAGAAAAAACGGTAGTCTTCTCAATCATCCGAAGCTTCCAATGGGAGACTTTCAAAGATAACTGGATTGTCTCGATAATGAGCTGAAAACCCACCCTTCAGTTCAGTCCTAAGTGCATGTAGACGGTGCATTTTCCACCATTTATCTATCTTCATATCACCCATGTTATTAATAGTGATAGTCATCCGAGAACCATATCTTTTCCCGGTCTCTTTGTTTATAGCATTTTGATATCTGGGTCCGCGGTTAGGATGTTCAATAGTGTTTAAAATGTCAGAAAAGTTTGAATGTAGAGTTTTACGATCTTTTTTACAAATATGTCTTGATGATTCATTAGCAAGCCTATTGAGAGAGTGATGGAGCCGGCTTTTTTGATAGTTTGCTTCGGAATACTTGGATTGGGTCGGATTATTAGAAGCTCTGTATTCCTCACTGTTACAGTCGCTGTTGGATGATAGGGCTTCTGAATTTCCCTTTTCGTAAAGTAGTGCAATGTTCTCTCCAGCGGCCACTTTCACGGAGACATCGCTACTATCAAGTTGTTCAGCAAAGACTCCTATTGCAAATTCGGCCTTCTGCTCAAGGTCGTCCAGGAATGTTGCCAAATAACCCCATGCCTTACAAGCTGCAACAACCACATCTACCTGATCAGCTGAATCTATCGAACAACCATCCGTTTCAATGATCTCGAGATATTCGTCCATGATCTCTGAAATTTCGAATTCTGACGCAGCACCGTATATAGCTACAGTGCTAAGAGTCCTAATTGCTGCAACCTTCACTCCAAAATTATCTGAATTACGGTAGCTTCGTTTCAGGTACTGTTCAATTTTTTCATACACGGATTCTGAAGGAACAGTGATCATTGTTAGGGCCACAGCTGCAAAAATTAGCTGGAATTTTGTACCAAACTTTGGTGCTTGACAAACCTCGCATTGCATGACATGTTTCATTCTCGCTATGTTCGGAATTTATAATTTTCATGAGTATCGGATAAATTTCGTCATTTCTGTACTGTATTGCCTCATGTACGTAATAACTTGTGAGTAGATCTACGTATTGAGCTAGGTTTATCTCTCTATCACGAGCGCTGTATTTTTTTCGATCTACAATCTTACTCATACAATCCTCTATGTTCTGCTTCCATCTTTCACTTTTACAACTGGATAACTTCGGATTTATAACTTCATCTGGATGGCCAGCACTGCATTTAATTTCAGCAAGTATACCAGCGGATTAATCATCCAAGACAGACCTCCAATTTGTGCATTTAATATCAGTACTTCCTTCACCATCTGATTGATGAAATCTCTGATTATTTAATACAGCATGTGGATTAGCTGCTGGTGATGCCCTTGAAACCCGCGACTGTGCTTTTTTGGACACAGTTTTGTTGCATTCTAAAGCTCGTCGTCTCAAGTCACGCATTTTAAGCGATTTGAATGTCAATTATGCCAGTTATGTGCAAATCTTGTCTGCAAATTTTTCCTGATTCTCCGCTGGAATTAAAAGTACTTTGAAAATATGAAAAAATTAACAAGTGTTAAATTTATGGCAAATGGGACACGAATTTCTTTAAATGGGGTACTTGATTATGTGTCTGGAAAATGTAAACGAAACTGAATGAGACCAAGGTCGGTAGTGTGTTGAGCGCTCCTGGCTGAGTAGTAATGATGAGAGGAGAAAGGACTCCAAGGACATTGTGATACTCACACCGCTGTGCTGATATAGATATGACGGCACGAAGTCTAGCCCAGCGCCTAGCCCCTGTCCATTAATATTCAAACATCTAAAATTGGATACTATTTAAATGGGTGTTACTAGTAATTTCATTCATTTTTTCGAGTCACAATTTTATCCAACTGATTTTTGGTGCTGTTTACTTCTGAGACCGCAGGGCACATGTAAATATCCTACTCCTACGGGCCAAGGATTTCGATATGTCGGGTAGTCTATCCCTCTTACCCCTCCTTGGCAGCACCAACCCGATAGCACCACCCCCCATAAATCTATATTTCTTCATGCACCTCAAGGAGCCCATTACCCCTCATGATTGCCACTTTCCAACCGACAATAAATGGGCCTTTCGCGGGAGGGCAGCAGCCAGGAAAAATTGTCTAATCACTAAGTTCAAGACCCTGCCAATAATGACACTAGGACTAAATTCGAGGATGTGGCTATGCTGGAGCGTTGGGAGGAGCCGCCTTGCTGAGCCCTGTAGATCTGTGTACACACAAAACCACAGACAATACTCCCACCATTTTTTCAGCAAAAATTGTCACTTATGTCTCGAGACAAACAGAATGTTTTATAGATATGTAAATTTTTTTAAAAACTATATGTATCGAGTAGCAGCCTAGCCAAATTTTTGTTTTCCGTCTTGCTCGGTGTGGAATGACCTACATTCATTGTCAAAATAAGGTCTAGTTACGTGGTGTCAAGGCAAACAATTCCACCTACTCATGTAAACTAAGCTAACCAGGTCACATGACCTGGCTACCAGTACATAGACTTCATCTGTGGCAGTGGGGCTCTCCAGTCAACATTTACAACTCAATACCGTGTCCCATGTATCTTTCTTAAGACTTGGATCGGGCTCAATATCGGCTCTACACACTCCACAGTCAGATGTAAAGTTTTTAGGGTTGGATGGTGTAGTGGTACACCATTCTGGTCGTTATCCCAAGTACCTTCTGACTAGCTTGAACACCTTCCCCATTTGAGAGTGAAAGAGTTGTGTTTATTGTACTACTCGAGTCTTAGACTATCTAGCACATTGGGCTCCTCTCTGACCCAGGCTACACCTTGTACAGTGCTCCTTGCCTCTCTTTTTACATGTAAGATCATTGATATACTGCCCGTGATGAATAGACATTCAGCTCAGTTTTCTCCCATGGAATTCAGCCACCTTTTCCACCAAACCTTCTACCCCCCCCCCCCCAAAAAAAGTAGTGATGGAAACTGCGTGCGCGGGAAAAAGTCTCAAAAAACCTGAAGCCCCTGCAAGGCGAGGCCGACTTGATCCAATCCACCATCTCCGTATCGGGTGCTGGGTACGCTCCGGAAATTCATCGGATGGCTTTTCCTCCATTATCAAGGGTTGGCGATGAGAAGGGCTCCGACCTTTCCATCTGATCTGATCGTGGTTAGCTTCATGATAATGGTGATAGGGATGTGTTGAGAGATGAAGACGATACAGACCGCGCAAGCGATTGGGAATCCTCGTCGGAGTGAGGACTTTGTTACTCAATCTCGGCTCTGCAGACTCTACAGTGAGAGCTGGAGGTTCGTAAGGGACACCACTGACAGGTGATGAATAGTCCCCCTGTAGAGACCGTAGCTGTACCATTAAAATGAATTGCAATCTCAGGGCCAAAGCAAATAGATGCCTGACCAGCATTATTTGTATTTATGGTAACGCTCTTGTCAAGGGAATGCAAAGCAAGGTACTGGGCTTTGCCGACAGTTGAAAATTTTGCAGCCTCTGTATCTATGAGAATATCTTTGTAGCGGTCCTGATTGTAATGACCATTGATTTGAAATATCTCGCTTGACTCAGACTTTGTCCTTGCGCTATAGCAATTTGATCTAGTTATCTTGTAAACTAATGCTTGAATGGCTAGTCAACTCGTTGTGAAGTAAGACTCTTGCTGGCCTTTTTTGTCATATATATGTAATCTATGCTGAGACGGTTGATCACCCTCTTATTCAGCAAGAAATATATCATAATGCGGCATATCATTAAAGAATTCGCAATCAGAGAAATAATGCAATCGTGATCTATTGCGTTCTTCCTTCGAGTGCTTGGATGAATTACATTCTTCTTTCTTGCAGATATAGCAATTATTTTTCCACTCTTGGCTATTGTTGTAGCGGAGTGGGAACTTACCCTTATTGAATGATGGACTAGTATTTCGATGGTGCATGTTGTTTCTGCTATTATAGCCGCCACGACGGAACCTATGATTATTAAAGCGATGATCAATGATGAATTGGTCGTGTTCTTCTGGTTCTTGCATGAATATGTTGGGTATTTAATCTCTATAGATTGTGGCAGCAGAGCAAAGCTTCAAAAAAATTTCTTGTGACGTTGAGTTAGGACCAAAGAGAGCCTGGTCCAGCTCCGGTACACAATGACAATTTGTTATGACTTGTGCATGAGGTTGTCTATCGTCTTGATAACCGGCACCTAACGCACGCTAGGTGAGATGTTTCTTCTCAATAAATGCTTCAAGTACCTCAGACAATGAAGAGTCTTTCATCTTTCTTCTCATGTTGTTGAATGTGTAATTTGTCCAATTGGTAAAGTATTGATGATAACTTTTCTCCATATAAAAGTAACATTTTAACTTGTCATACATTCCTCGAAAACTTTCTTTTCTTCCAATACTTTTCAAGTAAAATTGTTGAGCTCTTCCAGTGAGGATAAGTTGAAATCGAGACGCAAATTGAGTTACTGTGAAACCAATGCTATTACAGGTGCTGAGGAAGTGGCGTGTTTTGTCGTCGAGTATATCATACACATCTGTCAAACTCGAGGGTGCCAGGGATTGTGTTTGAAGGATAACCTAGAAGTACGAGTAGTATGTAACGAGATTTGTCTTAGACTAAGGTATTAATTCGGGATTCTAGCTATAACTAAGGACAAGAGACAAGGTCAATGGAAGACAGAAAACAAGACGTGGCTCTCTGTAGCGGCTCTTCCCAACCCATATATACACCATAGTAACCAGAGCAATTAAGGCTTCGAGGGGTACGCCTACTACTATACTATTACTCCATTTGTAACCCATAGCAACCATTGTATCCCAGTAAACGTTCTGAGATGAGAAAAAATTGGATATAGTGTAGAGAAAAAATATGAGGGTGCTACTCTATCCTCAGTTCCTGACAGTATCACCAGTAAAGTTATCTGCTTGTTTCCAAATTTTCATAAACTGTGTTAGAATGTTCGAGTTGACTGAAGAAGTAGGCATTTCTCGAGGTGATTAATCAGCGTAGTCGTCCCAAGAGTAAACAATCATGTTATCAGATTGAGTAGATTGAACAGGAGGTTGTGGTGTTGGACAATATGCTGTATTTTTGTCAGATTCCCAGTGATTTCTTCGACTCGTTGACAAAAGATTAATTTGCTGTGCTAGATGTGTGGGGGTCACTGTTACTTGATGTTGCTGAGCAGTCTCGATAGATTCGCATGCTTAAGCCCGTGGTGGGGATGAGGGCTGAGAATTTTGCATAGGGGTTTGAAAGGTTAAAGGATATGATGAATGCTCTTGGTAACAGTGTAGGTGAGGCGGTAGTAGTTTTTTGTTTTATTTATTTTGTCCTAAGCTAAAGCTATGTTTTCCACATTGGGTCAAGGACAGGCGGAGCCGGCAGGGTTCCCTGTAATCTTTCCTACAGCCTAACTCGTTCCAACCTCGTGAATCGCTACCAAAAGTGCAGCTGTTTAAATAGAGACGAAAAATCAAGCAAATCAAAACAGCTCCGAAAAAAACCAGAAGATTCCTCCATGTTGGACCCAGTCAATGTGAGGCGGTAGTAGTGTTTGATGTGTGGGGGGGTGTAAGGATAGTTGGGGTGGAGATTGTGAGGATGTATTGTGCTCATCACCCGGGGCAATAAACTTTTCGTCATCACGCATCTTGATGATCCGTTTGCCCATGCTTGAACAATCCTTCTTGAAGCGGCGTCTTTTAAACGATTCACCAAAGGTTTGTTTGTATGGAATAGCAATCTTTTCAAACATTGTCTCTGTCCAATGACCAAAGTAGCCTATAAGTTCATCGTGTATTGCCGAGGGGCTGTACATCTCTGGTATTGAATTCCAGTCTGCAGAAAATGCCATAGCAAATGAGATGATAGCTACAAAAGAGGAATTATTGTTGAGAATAGCTTCTTTATTCCAGTACTCAAGTGACAATACTTGAGGACCCTTTTTTCTGTATGCCACAGTTGTTCCTTCAATTTAATCGAGCAATTCTCTCTCCTGGTGATCCGAATCCATGTTAGACAATAATCCCTCTGCCTTTGGTGTGTGGAGCGTTTCTGGTTAATTTTCGGAAGATGACTTCTGGCCGGGAAAGTCTCGTGAAATAGCCATTCCTAAAGAACAATAAATGATGAGGATACTTATGTGTCAGGATCTCTTGGGACTTGGTTACTTAACTTGAACAGGTAGGCACTAAATCTTGGATTCTTGATGATAAAGAAAATATAATAACAACAAAGACTTGGTTCTTGATTCTTGATTCTTGGATATCTAGGGAATAATACAAGACTGAAAGCTGGAGAGCTTTCCACATGAAGATACCTCAGCTACTTATACTTCGACACTATCTGCTACAGACTACAGTAATCTAGTTCCAGCCCGATTCCTGACAAACTCCTGAGAGAGACCTAGAATCTGATCGAGGCCCATTGAACTG